AGCATCACCACCACCACCACGACTACTACTACTACTACTACTACTACTACTACTACTACCACTACTACTACTACTACTACTACTACTACTACTACCACTACTACTAGCCACCCCCCTACCAACTACACGTCGTCATTGTCATCAACGGATCACCACCAACATCACGAAAAAACAAACACATTTCACTACTAACATCACCTATAAGCAAACACAGTTCATCACCTTTCATCACCAACATCACCAAACGTACTGTAAATACCGAGTACAAGCTGGGTTGTGTGCTCACGAAAAAAGCAAAAAAACATTTCATCACCAACATCACCAAAAAGCAAACACATGTCATCACCAACATCACGAAAAATCAAACACATTTCATCACCTCTCATCACCAAAGGTACTGTGAATACCGAGCAATAGAAAACGGTTCCCCCAACCAATTTCGAGTTTTCGCGGCACGCCGTTCGAGACTCAAAGTTTAAAACGCGCAGTCCAGAAGTAGGGGTGGCAACTACAGTATATAAGAAAGTGCGACATCACGAAAGTACTGTAAATACCGAGAAACACGGCTCTTCTGGTGATATTGTTGGTTGCGTTTGCGTAACACTGTCGTCATCATCCCCCTCCACACCCCCTCCAGAAGCCAGTCCAAAATCAAGAGGCCGAGTTTGCAAACTCGGCAAGTCGATTTTGAGGCTTCTTAGGATGATCGTACATAACGAAAGTGCTGTAAACACCGAGTAAAACGGATTTGCTTTTAAGATGGGTTTGAGCAAGTGTAGTTGGTAGGGGGGGGGCGCGCCTACTACTACTACTACTACTGCTACTACTGCTACTACTACTACTACTACTACTACGACTACGGCTACTGCGACTACGACTACGACGATACCACTACTACTACGACTACAACCACCATCACAGCAGCAGCAGCAGCAACAACAATGACGACGACGACAACACTAACAGAGTCGCAGCCACAGCCACAACGACGACGAGGAGGATGACGACGCTCGGACACAACGAAATAGTGGAATACGTACATGCTGTTTATTTCGGTAAAAGCAATGTCTTCCGCGATCAACTCATTGAGGGCCTTGCGGTTGGCGGTGTTTTGTCTTTGCTTCGTTTCGCAATTGGATGAAAGTCGGATTTATGGGTATTGGCAGCAGTTTCCTAGCTGTATGCATCGTTGAGCTATGTTTTTGCTTTTTCTCAGCCGGGCAGCATGCGTATCTACGGTGGCACATTCTGCACGTGGTTTCGAAATGGCCGCATTCCTATCAACAGCATCGGAGCAGAAAAATACACAAGTAGCTAGTAGTTAAGCAGGAAGAGCACCCAAGGATGAGAGGGCAAAGCGAGCACATCGCAGTGAGAGGTGGGCCGAAGTGTTGCACATGTTCCAACACACCAGAGCACAAACACTGCACGACTGCTTCTCGCGTTGCCAAAATGTTATCCGCCGCCACCGCCGAACGAGCACGGCAGGCTTAAGATGTGATCCACCGCCATAGTGAGGGCGGTTTAAAACGATCAATCGACAAGAGTGGCGGGGGGCCTAAGAACTGTTCCCAGATCCCGCACCCGAATGAGAGCGGCAGGTTCCAGAATGCGATCAGGTGCCAAAAGCTTGATGCAGAACACAAAGTCAAGTTCCGGAAAAGCTAGCATCAAATGCATACCCTCAGCTGTAGCTACTAGTGTGTCAGTAAGCTTGCCCCAGAACAACACCCTGCAAATTGCAAGTCCCCAAGACTCGAACCGATTCCGTGCACACTGTGATTCACGAATAGCTTGTCTAAAGGCAGAGACATAACTGTTGTTGATTCAAATCCACCAATAGATTGACAACGGCAGAGAGATGATTGTGGTGATTGGAGTTTAATTCGCTTCTATTGCTTGGCTGGCCATTCTTCATTTACTTGCTGGAGGCAGTCTTGGTTCTTGTGTTGACCCGAGCTTCACCACTCCTGCCTCCGAAGAGGTAGTCGCACCAGGGCAGGCGTGCCGTGTAGTTGTAGCTCGTGTGGAGTGCACGGAAACCGTAGGCCTCCAGGGCCACCTTCAGCCTGCCAGCACTCGGCTTCGAGTTTTGGCTTTGATGAGACAGGCCGAGACAGCACTGCTAAGCGACAGAGCAACCCCCGTCCGTCCCGACCAGTCGCAAGCTTCGGGCATCAAATTGTAAACTGGTAAGAAACAGGAATGAACAAAAATCTGGAGTGCAGACAGCAGTCGATGTCAATGAATCTAACCGGCCTTTCGGAGTCGAGATTTATAGCAACTCAGAGCTGTGGTCGAGATGTAAGGCTCAGGTTCTTTGTAAGCCGAGTCTAAGCTGAGTTCGACTCCTTTTGCGGCTGGAAGCTCAAATTGGCGCTCAAACCTGCCAAGGGTCGTCTGCGTGCCAGTCCTCGGCGGTCCTACGTCAAGCACTCGAAAGGAAGTCGCCACCGCAAGAAGGCCAGCTGCATGTGACAGCACGGAGAACATTGCCAGTTGAGAGGATCTCGCGCCGGGACTGGTCTACGAACTGTGCGGGGCTGGCAGGGTGTTGGCGGCTGCTGCAGTGCTACAATTGACAAGTTGATATGACAGAACGAAGAGGTTTTTTTTGAATTCAGGGGTGTCGATTTGTCTGTGGGACCTAGTCCGTTGGGTGCACGGGATTCGGTAAGCAGCTGGCGACCAAACGAGCGAGACACAACAAACGTGACTGATCAACCACGTGGTCCACATCCCGAACCCCTGCCAGCGCTGGTCCTGCTTGTTTTTTTCCAGAGCCGTCGACAAGTACCAAAACAAAAACGTCTGCAGGTCCCAGCAGCTCTCGGCTATATATAATGGCTCTGTGCCCAACCACAGCAGAATCCTCCACGGTCTCTTCCCGTCAAAAGCACCATCTCTGACTTTCGATCCCTCCGTGATTGCAAACGAAGGTCTCTTTGATGTTTTCTGACGAAATCCTTGGATGCAGCATATGTGCAGGAATAACCAAGCGCGTAAGAACCGGCTCTAAGTCGATCCCACTGATGTGTGGACAAGTCTCAACCGAGCTGGCCCGCAGATGCATGGACCTCAGCAGCCCGCCATGGCGATGCCGACTCTGGATCAGGGAGCATCTGCCTTCAAGTCAGTGCCAGAGCCTTGCCACCTTAGAACAGGCTTCTGGATTCTAGAAGCCTTGAACAACACCACAGGCAACGCGCTGTCGGGCATGCCACCCCGAGCGTGGCTTGCCGTTCCAATAATCTCGTCTTTTCATGCTAGATGCAGAGAGCTGAGTAACTTCGGGATGATGAAGCTCACCGCTTCACAGATTCAAGCGACAAGTGCAGGAGCTTGTTATACGAAGTCTGGCGATGTCTAATTTAGAGGGTTTAGGGCAAGTTTAGGGGCTACTTTGCAGACCGCAGTGGGTACTGCAGGGCCTGGTAGGTGCACCACCGGGCTCGGGATTCCACAATTCGGGCCTCCGGAGGCAAGGCAAATTTCAGACTGAAACTCCTCCGCCAGCCAAGTCCCACTTGCTGTCTTGATCTGTGCTCGTGCATCATGTGATCTATTCGGGGAGGCTTCGACAAGCCGAGGCAGGGCGCTTTCGACCTTCGGCTGTGATGGCCTTTGCGGGGTCCAAATAAACGTTCCTGGGGCCTTGAAGGTGCAGCCGCTGACGAAAGTCAGGCGACCGGTGCGCTGAACCGTGACAGCCAAAAGCATTGTGTCGATGCTGCAGCTACCAGCAGATAGACGTGGGGGCATCAAGGCTGAAGGAGCGCAAGGGCTTACGAGGACTGTGCAAACGTGTCATGGCTCGATCCAAGCACTCTCACGGTCAACCTGTTGCGGAGCGGGAACTCCTTGCTGCGACTGCTTGTGGGGCAGGGCGCTCTTGACGATTGCCGTGGCAAGCTTACGCATGACGCTCGGTAGAAGGCTCCAGATACACACAATTCACAGAGATCGGCCCTTTTTAGTTCCCGACGAATGTTCTCCAAGTGGAACCCACAAGTTCTGCTAACAAAAACCAAGTCTGGTAACCTCGGCCCTCTCTAGGCCTAATCCCGGTTCACGCACCCAGGCCAGAATTTCCAATCGTTGAGTCCTTTAGCCACACATTTCCCCATGCTTCCGAAAGGCTGTCGTGCGGGGTTCGCAAGTTTGCAGCAGATGGACCGGTTGCAGGCATGCGCTCTCACATCTAGCAACTCTAGCAGACGACCTGCTGGATGAACATGCGTCGGGACGCTGACCGATAAGCCCCCTGCCGAGCACGAGAGAGAAATCCTAGGACCTCTTGGGGCCGTATACAACGAGTGCCAAGGTGTCCAGAGACCTCTTGGCAGGCTTCAGACTTTGAGCCAAAAGTCCGGAAGGAAGCTCAGCTTGGTCAGTTTCTTCCACGAGCCGAGGAAAAGACCTCGTGTCTCAACTCTTCCCCGCTGCAAGCATGTTACTGTCTTTAAGCACCCGGGGCCCGAACCAGGCCAGTACGTACTGCGACCGATGTTGAGGAGGGGAAGGTTCACAGCAAGAACGAGGCAAATGCTTTCCATGCTTGCCTTCAGACAAAGCATGAAGCTCTGGGGTGCTCTCTGAGCGCCACATTTGCCCGAGTGCCTTCCTGCAAAGCGAATTCTATGGCACAAATCTCCGCATGCAGCGGAGGCATGGGAGTGCCGGAGCACTGCGACAAGTCGAGAAGTACAGGGCATTTGGAAAAACGCAACAAATAGAGTCGAACATAGGGACCCACATCACGACTGAGGGCTTGAGCGTAAAGCCTGGCTTGAGCTCAGCAATGCAGACAGCAACTCACAATCGGGCAGGCAGCACCTCCCAAGTGTACCTCAAGACCGCTGGTGCCCGAGTCACGCGTCTACTGGGTTGAGGGCGTGATCAACACCTGCGAATGCACTTCAACGTCAGCCTAAACATGTGACAGCCTGCAGCTCAATTCACCGTCCATATCTCCAACATGGCTCCTGAGACAGACAAGACTTAGGTAGGGTGAGCGCAGTCGCCCAAGGGCAAGCACATCAGCGCAGTTCAGGGCAACAAGCGGGAGTCTGGTAACAGTCGCAGCCCTGTAGAAGGCACGTTCCTTCGGTCCGTCTCCGGGTTCCCGAAGATCCATCGGCAGAGGCCCGAAATTTCAAGCGAGCAATTCACAAGACTTCCAGGGGTGTTCAGGCCGGCTTGGGCATCAACACATGTGCCGCTCCAGGAAGCCAACCTCCTGATGTCCAGCCAACACCCCAAAAGTCCAAGTCTGGGCGGGACAAACAGTGCCATGTGCATCGATCACAAAAGCCTAGAACCCCAAATGTTTCCAGTTCAGCGTTGCGGAGCAAGGTTCAAATCTTTGATTGGTAGATGTCCATGGCACCGCGCAGGCCCGAGGTCCACTGTCGACAGCCACCAAGCCCGAGACTTTCATCAACAACTGCAGAGCTCGGTCGGCTGGATTGGGGCGATTAGGGATGTTCGGATCCTCCACTGCCTTGGATCTTGATTGATTGCCAATCTGTGTGTAGGGTGCGATGCCATGGACTACGGTATTGGACTTCGGGTGAGGGTTGTCAAGAGGCGTGGGAAGGAGAGCAGTTCAAGGTTTAGTTTAGGTAAAGAGTGCTGGGCGGGGGATGCTCAGAACCTCGAGCTCTTATACCATGCTGCAGCAGGCAGGCTTCCTCAGTCCTGGAGTTCCCCAAGCCTGAGCCATCGTAAAGGTGCGGCTTCGAGAAGCCAACCTCCACAAGTCCAGGCAACACCCCAGAAGTTCAGCTCTCCGCCAAACAAAAAGTCCAAAGCAGGTTGATGCCGAAAGCCTGTAACCAAGCCTTTTCGCATGAAGTTCTGAGGCAATTGAGGCTCTAAGCTGAAAATCGCAAGCCGTACATAGTCACGCTTGCAACTCAACCCATGCTCTACTCTAGTACTCCAGCAACTTCACGCGGATCCCAACAGTGAAGTGGCACTTGTGGTGCACAGTTCTCCTCACTGTGCATGTGTGTCGAGGCCGGGAGCTGCTTAGCGGCTTAGATCGGCTTAGCCTTATGACGAGAAAGGCAGCCGCAGGCTCAGCTTCCCGACATCAAGCACCTGAAACCTGGGCCCAGAGCTCGGGCTCAGCGGGCACGTGAATTACATGAGGACCGTGGTTCCTCAGACCTTCACAAGCCTACATAAGCCTACAGCTGCAGATGGAGAGTGGAGGCATGGAGGCCCTGATAGAGCGCTGGGCTTCCTCCACATGAGAAGTTGACAGGCTTTGGCCTTCCCTCGTTTGTTCAGGGAGGCCAAAGACACCAGCGGAAGCATGCCTGGGCTGCCTGGATGGGCGCTGCACGGCACGAGTCTTAAAGGTTCTAACGCCCTCACATCAGATCTTCTCGATGCAGACTGTTCCTGGCTAACCATGTACGGCGCTCTGATGCTGCCCTGTGGTGCAGTAGCTTGCAGGTGCTCTTGGAAGTGCATTGTCTGAGAAGTCTGAAGCTGAGATTCAAAAAGGAAGTGTCAGATTGTAGCCGACAGGCAAGAAGGGAACGTGATCAGAAACCTCAACGACTTGAAGCACAGAAGCTTGAGGCACTGAAGGCTTCGCAGGCCTCGTGCTCACAAGCCAGCACGGCCCCGCTTCAAGCAACCACTGAAAAAACTGCTGCATTAACGAGGGCGAACCTTGTAGCGCAAAGTCGCAGGAGGTGAAAAGATAATCGTCTTGAAGCACCGAGCGAGATTTCACTCTCGATGCGAAGCCGACAGATGCTCAGGCTGCTGCAAGTGCTCAAGCCCACATGCCACAAGCTTCAAAACCGTGGAGCGGTGCTGGACATGCCACTATGCCGACTCTTGCAAGGAATGACGGCAGACCTTTGTACGGCAACGACAACATGCTTTGACTTTGAAGCCTGCATGCCTCAGAAAATAGTCGGGCTCATTTCATGACATCGAGTGTCAACACACCAGGCAAACAGAAGGTGATCTACAACGAGGCGGCACCATTGCAGGAAGAGGCTGTCCTGCACTATGGCTGGAGCCTGGTCGGTTCCCCGTACACGACTTAGCGGAGTTCAAGGGAGTGCGATGGCTCACTTCAGCCACAGTCACAACCATGCAGCCAGCGGCGGCGCGAATCCAGTAACCGCAAAAAGAGAAAGTCCACAACCCCAAGCTTCCTGAACCTTCAATCCTCACGTCAGGGAATTGGATGTCTGCCCCTTCACAGCACTCCGGTGCTCCGAACCTGCCTCGTCTCCCGAAATGTGTCAAGCCTCAAGCCATGGACTCCAAACTCCTAAAGGTTGGAAGGTTTAGAAGGTTCTGTCTGTCTTTGGGGGCTTCCAAGCACGCCTGCAGATCCACAGGGTAGAAAGCTGACCAGCTTACACAAGCTATGACAAGACCACAGCACCAGGGCAGCACGAGCAGCCCTGCTAGGCCACCGGACACACATCCCAGTCTCGGTTTGGTTGAAGTGGTCAGGCCAGCAAATGCGACGTGAATATCGTTTGCTTGGACCTTCAGAAATTTTGCGTCAGGCCTTCACCACATCGGGATAGGACCAGGGACCAGGACTGGACACCACGCCAATATCCTCTACGCAAAATGAAGATAACTTGAGATAGTTGAGCGTCTTCGCACCTTTGGCGCTTCAAGCTCAGGGCCACTCGAGGTCTAAAGAGCAGAAGCAGGCATCGTGCAAGCCAGCTCCGCGTCACCGCCAGTTGTCCATGTCAAGACACAACTCGAACACTCTTCAACGAGCAAAGTCTGTTCCAATTCCGCCTGTAAATGCCAGTGAGCTTACCTACCACGCTTCCTGTTATGCCTACCGGGCAAAAGGCAGTCACAAACTTTTCGGGCATCCCGCCTTAAAGGTCTTCTCTGGCTACAATGCCCCATCCCAACGGTTGGGCTCGTGTCGATCCGTGCGAGCCCTGCAGTAGCGATCCGAAAACCACGTTGTGACTGACTCACGATCGTCAAGCTTCCTTGGTCTGGCTGGTTGCTGGATAACGGTGGACGGACGGAGGAACCAGGCGAAGCTCTTCACCTTGTCAAGGGCTGGACAGCATGGCCAACCGTGCCACACTGACCGCGTTTTTACAACCCGGCTCATACGGGAGAATGCTCACAATATCCCTGTTGATCCATGCAAGAATGAGATGTCTCTCCTGCTACTGCCAATGCATCACGACGACGACACTTGCATCATCTTGTGCATAATGCCAAACCTGGAAGGGGACCTCAGTGACCTCCACGGGGACCAACGAATCACTGCGCGTTGTCTTCTTGATATGTTGGTATGCCCAGTGGGAGACGCCCCGCCTGCAACCAGGCAGCCTGAAGCAGCCTGCAGCCTGATTGCCCTGGTGCTTCAGAGTACACTACATCCGCGGCCCAAGGGATCGCTTGCAACTTCCATAGCGGAGGCTCGCAAATCAACGAAGCCACTCATCCTCTGAGCAACGAAAGACAGGAGACTGTTTGACATTCCAATTTCTAAGCACATGTCACAACTCAATTCGACACTGAAACTAGCCTCGGCAATTCTAGAGCTCTGCTGATGTACATCAAGCAACATCATAATTCTCATGTGGGTTGTCGTCGTCACCTGAGGTGTCCAAACTTGCATTCTTATGTGGCTGGAAGTCGGCCAATCTTCTGCACTCTCGTGCCATGCACAATCACGCCAGCAGTTGCGTCATGCTCGAACGTTCCAGTTCACAGCTGAGCGTCAGCCTGCGAACGGGTCATCTAGCTCCGCCTCCTCTGTGACACGCGATGTCGCAGCCTATTTGCTGGACTTGGGCCATGGCGTGCAAAGCAAGCTGTTTTACGAAGGGTCTCGGATCTTTAGCGCTAGCTTCGTCATCGCGAAGCATGGCGAACGAAATTGAGAGCAAGTCCTCATCAACGCTCAAGTATTCAAGGTGTCCAAGACAAAGGCTGGTCAAAGGCTTTTCGTTCAACAACCATTCCAAGTCCAACGCTCATTGCAAACGGCAAACGAGGTACTTCAGAAGGTGGTTCGTTCCGGAGCTCAGGGTCAGGACCGGAAGTTAAACAAGAGCGTCGATGCTGCTTGCGCTTCGCGACACTGGGAGGGTCGCGAGCCGCAGCTTAGGGCACCCTAAACCCAGCTGTCTTAACCCCAGGACTCGAAGCGGTACAGCCTACATCTTCTTGGCTTAGACTATACTTAATCGTTCAGAAAACCGCACATGGATCAAAAACGGAGACAGATCTCGTCCGACTGTGCAGCACCGATGCGATGCGATGCGATGCAGCTCCTTACAACACGCTCATGCACCTCCTCAGAATGCCAAATTCTCTGGCAGGGCAAAGGCGGGGCAAGAAGGACACAGCTCCGGCTGACAGTTCTGTCAGTGCTCCTCCTGAAGGTCGTGAGAGGTGCTGCGTGGGCGGCATCGTGGAAGTAAGCCGAAGCTTGCAAGGTAATGTGCGGGGTGTTGCACCGCGTGTCGCAGCAGACTTGGCGGGCTTGATTGATCATGTCAGGCGTGACATGTACACGCACCCACGGCAAAACAGTTCCTAAGCAGATATGTCGACCGGCAAGATCTGCAAAGTCTCAGCCTGGTTTGTCTGAGCACCGGTGTACGGGCAGCGAATATTAGAATTGATGTGCGTGTGCACCGTGTCCTCAGCATGCAGCCAAAGTGATTGTGACAACGCTCAAAGTTGCGCCAGTTCGACCCGTTCATCAGAATGCTCCGCACACTTGTTGGTGCTATGTCTTATGTTTGCCCAAGACTGATCTTTGTAACTTGGCTTATGGCAGGGGCTGGGCAAGGGGAAAGCAGTGGCGGCGAGCGATGTGTAGAATGGAATGTTGCCACGGGGCACGTGTGCATCTTCTGCTGCGTGCTCCGCTGTTGCTGAACTGGCTACATGACCTGACTTCAACCACTTTTACTAAGCGGTCACGAAGCATAGTCTTCACGGCATCATCGTCTTCGTACCGCACCAAGGCAGGCGGGAACACTCAAGTTAGTCTGAACCTGCGTCCATCCAAATCGCGGAAGTCGGAAGCTTTCCGAACAGACGAAGGCATCATAATGCACCAATGGGTTCCGAGATCCCTGTGCACATGTTTGGAAGCAGCTGCCGAAAAACTACGATTGGCCAAAGTTGGCGCGAGACTGCTGGTACATACACATACACTTGCACTAAGCGGAGCAATGCCGACTTCAGTTCGCCCATGCTTGCCCTCCGTTTTTGGCGCTCATACTCGACGAGATCAGGCGAGGTTCCGGAAGGACTACAACTCTTTGGCAAGCACGGCTCCTAACATCCCCTGGTATTGACAGGGACATGTTTGCACAGAGATCTATCTTGGTATCTCCATTGCAGCACCCAGCTCAAGAACGAAGCGTGCCATGCTGCATCATTCTCACTTCAACTGCAATTGCCTCGCAGAGCGTGTAAATACGTGGATCTGTGACTGCGGACGTAACCTGAATGGACGGTCTATGCCAACGAGGTCCATGCCAGCGCTGGATTAACATAGTGTCCACACGAAAATCCGTTCCTGCATGCTTGTTCGCTTTCGGCAACTCGTGCGTTGGTTCGGCTGCGAAGCAAAGCAAACTTCCAAGATGCTCGTGGGCATCACACGAAGCTTTCTTCAACGAGCAACGTAAGCTCGAGGCTAAGCTAAGCAAACGACACTGGCACCCTCCATTGCATGTGCCGGCAACTTCTAGGACACCACAAACGATGAAGATGCAAACGCGCTGAAGATGGCCCTTGCATCTGGTGACCTTTCAAATGCAGCAGGCAAGCATGTAGTCCGAAAACTCCCTCAAGCCGTCGATTGCAGATACTCTGCAGCAAGGCGTAGTGTTTCAATGGCCAGGACGTCGCCATGGCTTTCGGCAGTAGGAACGAAAGGCTTGTGTTTCAGTCTGTCTCCTGTGTTACCCCTGTACGCCGAGTGAAAAAAACGTGAAAACAAACGCCTCCCCTGCAACAAACTTTCCCCTTTCGCTGAAAGGGCTTTGGCACCAATCTCTCTCTCAGAGCCGGGGGCCGGCGCGGGGGCGTTTTTGAGAATCTCCGAGAGGCAAGAGACCCGAAGGCTCGCCGGTCGGCAGAGCCGCGCTTTTTGCACTGCTGCCTGCTGTGAACATGCAACATGCGACATATTGCGAGCAGCACAAGGTTCAGATAAATGATGATAGATGCCAGATACTTGTCCAGTCTGCCAAAGTTCACTTCTGGCTAAAGTCGCAATGCCGCTTCCTTCGTTAACTTCGTTAACGACTTTGGCGACTCCGGAGAGACTCGGACTCGTGAAGTTTGGCGAGTGGAATTTCACCGCCGGCATATCTTCGTAGTACGAGTGCCTTCGAAAATAGATTTCGGGGAAGTACGGAATTACACGTTGAAGTGTTACTTACGCACGATGTTCGAACAATGGATGCCGGCCTGGGGTGTAGTACAGTAGCTGGCATTTTGCCGGCTGTGATGCATCAGCGCCGAGTGCGCTCAAAGAGGCCTCATCAGAAGCAGTCGCTGTACAGGTGGAACCGGTCTGCAACAGTCTGAGGGAAAGCGCCTATCGAGCTGCGACTTGCTCCTGTAATCTGTCGATCAGCACCTGATCACAGGAAAGCATAGGAAAGCCACACGGCACAAGGCTTCGGTACTACCAGGTCCGACATCTGCCCGCTTTGTGAGGCGGCAGGAGTTCTGGAACTGGAGCTCGGTGTGTCTACCAGGTGCTTCCACTAAGTGCTCGGCCTGCTTCTCAGACAAGCTGAGCCGAGCCTTGTCGCGTCAATAGCTGTAGCATGAAGTGGCATGCACGGCACTGCGAGATGGAAAGAGCAGCTCCTGGATAGGCAGATACGGGCAGCATCGGGCACAGGCAAAGACCAGGCTCACCTCTCCGTTTCCTTTCCGACCCCAAAGTCCTACCTACGGTTGAGTGAACCTTGAAATTTGTGGATAATCCCATTGGCGCCGACAGGCCTCGCCTGAGCATGCTGCAATGCTTTGCCCGTGACGCCCAGAAAAGCGTCAGAGTATTGATTGGAAACCACTGCAAGCCTTCTTTCGTACAGAATGAGACGCGAGATGACGCGAGTGCTTAGCACCAGGCTGCAGTTGCCAAGAGCATTTCGACCTCGATCGCTCTGAGCAGAGAAGATACAGTGCCTAACAGCGAGCACCATCTTCGTGCCCCGCCGTGACTGGCGTTTGGCAGAAAGTGCGTATGTGCACGTATGTGCAAAGAAACCTCAACAGCGGAGAATCGGAGACGTCCGCGACGAACCACACACGCAAGTGCAGGGCACGTGACGACTCAGGCAGGCGCATGACGAATTGACAATCAAAGCGGTCCATCATGCCACCATGCCCCGGAATGAGGTTGTTGAAATCCTGGTTGCATGAGAATCAGGACAAGTCACGGGTTCCCTATCCCGGACAGCCTTGATCCCATAAGCACGCTTAATGGCAGAAGAGAGGAAGCCCCCAAATGGAGCAGCAAAGGATGCGAAGAATCCAAGACCTGTTGAAGGAAAGCTGCTTGCATGCACGGATGACATGAAGATACATGAAGTGAGCTGGCTGAGGTCCACTCTCAAAGCATGGATCTGCGCCTAGGTGCTGCGCAATTGCGTTGGGCACCGTGTGGAGATAACTATGCTTAGCGTCATTCTGCGTCTACACGAGCTACCACTAAGGCTTCTGCCCTGCAAATCTCGAGCTGGCCAACTGCATTCAAGGCCGGAATCGACCTCGAACTGAGAACCGAGAAGCACTTCGTCAGGTTCAACTCGTGCAGATAGCAAAGTCGCAGACCCTGCCAGCACTCGCCAAGAGGCTCTCATCCCACCTGGCGACGCAGAGTGCGCCATGCATGGCAACAGGTATGTTCCGGTTCCAATGCTCGGCCGGCTGGACTGGGAAGTGCATCGACGATAATGCTGTCGATGCTTTGCGGTCTGCCCAAATTGTCAGTGCAGACTAGCCAAGAGCATTGTCCTTTGCTCAAAACTGTCAAGCATATGCCACAGGCCCGCCCCAGAAAAATCAGACTATGAATCTTCGCCGAAAGCTGTGTGAAGCGATTCCACTGCCATGGCCAGCGGTATTGAAGTTGTGAAGGGCATTGTAGCTCATGTGCCCAAACGGCATTTGGACTTGGAAATGGGCCTCTCAAAATACATAAGCCTTCAGCGATCTGCATATCCTGATGCTTTTGCTGCAGGTTGTAGAACTAACTATGGCACTTTGCCTGAGCATGTATTCCACGAAATGCATTGTGTGCTGGCAGAGCCTGTACATTTGCCCAGGTTCGCAAGACAGCGCATGGACCTGAACAGTTGACACAGATGCTGTGAACAGCATCGTCTGCACAACACTTGATCGAAGAGCTAGGAACCCGGCCGATAATGTGATTTCTTCTGGCACCTCGGACCGGTCGGACGGCACTCATAAGTCTTTGTTTTGATGGCGTGGAGCTTCGGGTGCTTGCCACGACATTTAATCTTTCCAATGCAACACCGGTGGAGGACATCATGTCTTGTAATGCTGAGTCGACGGGAGCACACTGCTTTCTGTCGGTTCTGTCATATATGCTCTCGGGTCCCGGCCACCCCCCCCCCCCCCCC